AAATCAAGGGAGAGAGATGGAGAGAGAGATAAAGAGGAAGCGAGGGGTGAGAAGAGGGGCTGGGGAGAAGTCAAGAGACTAAGGTGGGAGACCTGGAGGAACCCACAGAGGCAGCAAAAGAGACAAAGACGGCGGGGAATAGGGGCCACGCTCCTCACTGGGGCTCTGCTTTGAAACGGTTCCCAGGGATGCTTTCTTTCCATCTCTGAGGACAGGCAGTGACATCTCAGCCTCTCACCCAAAGGGCAGGGACAGGATGACATCCCGCTGAGGCTTACTCAGCAGCTTCACATCACAGAGAGCGCTGGTTTTGCTATCAGGCAGCGTAGGGCCCACATCCTGGCCCCTCGACTGACTAGGTGGCCCTGAGTGACTTGCTCAACCTCTTGGATCCTCAGTCTGCCCACCTGTAAATGGAGATCAGGAGACATACACCAGGAGTGAGAAAAATGAGAATGAAAGGCAAGAGAGAGGTGCTCAGTCAAAGTTAATTAGGTTTTCTCTCCTTGTTTCCTTCCCCTACATTAAGAACATGGGATAAGCAAGTCCTATTGGATTTCCAGGACACAGAGGAATTTAATAATTCCTGCATAATGCTTCGCAGTCTGCAAAGCCCATGAGCTCATTTGATGAAATGAAGCCAACTCAGTCATAACAAAGCACTTGTGATCTTTTTTCAGCCTCTTGACAACCTTGAGAGTTTAGTGTTATTATCCCCATTTCATGGAAAAATATATTGAGGTTCAGGGAAGTTGAGGTCTGCAGGGACTCACCCCAGAGCCTCTGAGTTGAAGCCCAGAATTCTTTCCACCAGGCCAGGCTGCCTCCTTCTGGTGGGACTAAGTCAACAGGCTTCACCACGTCTTTGTGCTGTTTCCGTGAAATGGCTAACCAGCATAGGCATCAAACAAGCCTTTGCAAAACAGATTTTGCTCGTTCACTGCTATTAAAACAATTTATGTAAGCAAAGAAAATGTTTTGGTTTTACAATTCAGTTTTAGCATTAAGGGGCACAGACTCCTCATTATCATGGTACCCGGCAATGGAGAGGTGGCTCAGTCTGTGCTCGTGATGGATTTTGCATTTGCTCTGACACTTGCACAAACACGTTTCCCGAGGACTTCCCTTGTGGCTGGCACTGTGCTAGGTGTGCTAGGGGCCAGAGAGTAATTCAGTGCTATGAGAAGGTTCTGGAGCTGTCTGGGGAAGGGGCTCCACCCATCCTTAGAGAGGAGGGTCAGAGTGAAGAAAGGCTCCTCGGCTGCAGGAAAACCAGGAGGAGGAGGCTGTGGGATACTCTAGAAGAAACGATGAGGATCAGACATTGGGGATGGAGAGAAAGGGGAGAACTTAGAGATATTTAGGAAAGAGAAGAGACAGGCCTTGCAGACTGCTTGAATGTGAAGACCAAGGGAGAGAATGAAGGCAATCCATCCCTCCTCTTAAAAAGGCTCAATATCAGCTTAGAAAATAATAATCATTAAAAAAGACAAAAATGCCAGTTCCAGCAGAAGCTCCTCATTTCTGAAATGTGGTGGGACTCCGGTCTACTTTTGCCAGGTGGAACCCTGGGCCAGTCTTCCTCTCTCTTCGGGGGAAGAAATCGCATTGTATGGTATATTACTTATTTTAATCAAATACAGTTTTTTCTAATTGTCACCGTGCCGGCAGCCTCACGGGGGCTGGTCTGACTTGTGTACATCCATGACAGGGAAGCGGTGGCGGCAGCTGCTTTGTGCCAGCCCGCCCGTGTTCCGTACCTCTCCCGCCTTGTCAGTCACATCTCCCCTAATTACAGAACATCTGCTTGCTGTGGCCATTAACACTCCGCTACCAGCTTGTCTAGTTTAATACCAGTGACTCCTGACCTCCCCCAAGGAAGGCGCTTTCTGTCAAAATTTCCCCCCAAAGAAGCCAATTCTCCACGCAAAATTTGCACTTTTCTTTCTTTTCTTTTCTTTCTTTTTTTTTTTTTAATGCTACCTTACTAAAGACTTTTGAAAGGAAATGGGTTTGATGAGGTGCCATTTGGAGGGGGTGGGGAGAGTCGTTGCAACTGGAAACCTTTTCCCCGCCTGGTTTTGTTTTGAGTCTTTAAAAATTAAAGAGGAAAATCATCTCCAGGGCTGGGAACACAAATGGGAGGGTCCCCGCTCTCCCCCTGGCCCCTGTCCCGAGTCCTACAGCTAGGGGGCGGTGCAGACAACCCACCCCAGCTCTGCTCTCTGGAATGACGTCTGCCTATCTGAATACAGACCATCATGGAAGAGTCCAATGGCTTTTACTGTAATTATTTTAATGATACGTTCCTGTGGTGGTGCTCCTGTTCCCTGGCACACCCAGAATCCTAAAACTCAGGAAGAGAGATTCCCCATCCTCTGGGGGTGATCTAGTAACAGCATATTTCTCTGCGAACATCAGATGGTATTTAAAATATGCTACAGCTTCCCTGGCTTTCCCAATAACAAACATGCTCAAAAAGTATAATAGAAATGAGAGGAGGAAATACAGAAAAAATATTTCGTTCAAAGCATAATGGATCACACAGCAAACGGTCCCCAGCTTAGGGCTGACTCCCACCAGGCTGCCCTTCCTGGCTTTCATCTTATATAGAGCCTCCCATCACAGGCTACATTGTAGCCCAGCGTGGTAACAGCAACTATTCCATAGGAAAAGACACACAGGATTATTCCAACAAAAAGGGGGAAGGGGAGAGCAGTTCGTTTCAAAACCACCCCAAACATGATTTGTGAATTAATACATATTTTAAATTGTTTTGCTTGTCAGTCTTGCTTCTGCTTCCTGTTTTGATAAATGGCAATTCCTCTTCCTTCTAGGGGAAAAAAAAAAAAACAAGAGTCTTAGGATGGCTTGTACAAATACCTAGCTCAGAAAAGTGATCAGAGAGCTCACAGTATTTTATAATGCCTTGGACTTTGCTTCCAAAGTGGAAAAGCATTTACTCAAAGGAAGCCCCTGCACAGAGCAAGGGCAGGCAGTTTATGTAGGATGCAAGCTCGACCACTTCAGGGAGAAAGTGGGGCAGCCTAAGCGCTGATTTTAATTTTATTTTTCTCTAAAAGAGTCAGAAGTGATCACTGACCCAGGCACAAGTAAATTTCAACAAGAGCAAAGTAAGTAATTAAGAGAGAATAGTCTAGAGCGTTGCTATTTTGTCCTGCTACATCTGAAAAGCATTCACGGTACTTTGCTGCAGGAATTTGCTCTGGCTCTGCCCTGGTGCCGACAGTCGCTTCTCCAGAAACTGAAACAGCCAAGGAGGAATTTAAAAAAAGAGAGAGAAAGGTGAAGGGATAAGTGGATTTTAAAAAATACTGCAAAGGAATACCTGTAAATACATTTTTAAAATGTGCATTTCCAGAATACAACATCGTCTTAATTGTCGACCTCACCAAAACACCTATTGGAGAAAACATTTTTAACAAGGGGAAGAAATGATCTTGTAATCTCAACAATAAAAGCGTTTCCATCCTTTGTATATGCTGACTTACAAAAAAAGTGCTTTCAAACAACAAAAGATGGAGCAGTAATTACATAAATCTCTTCATTCTTGATGAAGACACAATGGAGTATGAGCAAATCAATAGCGCTGCTGTAATTCTTGTTTTTATTATGAGCCGAACACAAACTTGTTAAAATTGAATTCTGCTTCCCGTGTATAAAAAAATTAGGATTTGCACAAATTCAGAAGAAAAGAACACATGTTCTGTAAATGTTTAATTTTTTTCATGCTACTTAGGAGATTTATGATGGAATAGAATCAGATTTAGAAATGAATGTGACACCCATAATGTAACGCTGCCGCCTATGTCCCAAAAAATGAGACATGCCACCTTTAGACATCTCATTTCAGTTGCTGCATTGAAGATATTCATTCAGAATGCCCAGAAATTACCTCCTCAATTTTTAATCCCACTATTAAATAAACTAAATGTACCCTAAAGTCAAATATCTCCAACTTATTGCCAATAAATTGGCCGTAATGATTTTCCCCCACAACTTACATTTATAATATTTCCCATTCAGGAATAAGTAATATTGCTGATTTTCCAAAGAAAAGGTGAAAATTATTGCATTTAAAAATAATTAATAGATGGGCCTGCATACCTTTGAATTAAATTAAAAGAAAAATATTTCTTTTTTGTAGAGATGATTGCATTCATATCCTGTTTGGTGTGAAAAGTAGATTCCAAAAAGCTTTTAACTAATTTGTTCAATTTGTTTCAAAGCCAACATGAATAGGCTTGGTGCAAATTCAGATTCATTAAAACTTAATTAATATGCATCATTATGCAAATGAGGTTGCAGTTAATGAGTTCTTAAAAGAAGCTTTCTTTAATTAGTTCAGTTTTAATGGCATCATCATTTATCTGACTTGTTTTTAAAGCCACATGACATGCAAAAAGTGACCATCCTCTACAATGCACTGCCTAATTGCGCTTCATCCTAATTGTTTCATGTTAAAAACTTTGAAAAAGTTAAAATGTTTTGATATTCAGTTCCATTAAATGGCTTTCACAAACTTTTCCATTCTGGTGAATGAGCTATTTCTTCCATTCCTCAGCTTTTTTTCTAGCGTTGCTCTTAATTATTCTTCTTATTTTTGACATACAACCATTTTGATCACCTGTTTTGATCATGTGAATATTGTGTCCATGCACGTCTATTTGCACATTGCTGAGCCCTTCCTTACAGGTATACACGGGAAACGGTGACGATAATTGCTCAACAAGCACTCTTTATTGTTATGTGCATACATTAGTGTGGATTATTATACTTATGCACTTGAAAAATTAAAACGAGCCTTTCTTGAGGCCATCTGCTGACTTCAGGAAGCTTAGTAACATGTTTTAACACAAGATTTTTAAACGTAGTAATTCACAAGAATTACAGCCACTGCTGCTATCACCAGCGTCTACATCGGAGATGCCTGCCTGGGAGATAAGAATGCTTAATAATTATTGAGGAATATGGAAATCAGAAAGAAAGAAAAAAAAAGGCAGGCTTAGTACAGAAAAAAAATGCTAACCCAGAAAATGACTTTGGAAGCTTCGGAAATACAATGGGTTTTTAAAACATTTTCAGGTTTATGAAATATTGTGCTACACAATTACAATTGTGTTTTGACATGTGGTGCCGAATGTAATTCTTTGGGGGGAGAAAAGGAAGTTCTTTTACACAGAGTCCTAGAGAGGAATGTGGTGTGCCGTGTTACACGTTTTTACACCACTGTCAGGAGTTTTATAACTGAGACGAACTACTTGCGTTTGGAGTTCAAAAATAAATATATGTGCTTTGCGTTGGTTTAAGCTAAGTTTTATGTTTTGTTTCCACAGAGATTGAGCTGTGCACAACCCACCCTAATTAACAACAACAAAAAATGCTGTACAAGCCTTGCATTTATCAAGGCACAGACCAGCACTGCAAACATTGTACATTTCCCACAGAAAAAGGAAAACAAATATTCCAACCTCTTTCTAACACTTAGTCTTTTGAGTACCACCAAGCATATCCGGATCAAATAATTGGGAAAAATCCATCTCACGGAGGAGGCAGTGGGGAAACCATTATTTGGGGGATCTTTATAATGAGGGTGCAGCCTTTGGCTGGGAAGACGGCCTCCTTTCTCCTAAGTCGGCTGGTTACAATATAATTGCTATCACACCGCCATATGGTGATTGAGATCATATTAATAGAATTACACGAATAACTATTGGGGGAGGTTCTGTTCGCAAATACGGCCTCACGTAAAAGTGTGGAATGAAGCCATGCCGTGACGGGATGTTTCTGAAGGAGAGGGACATGACAGACTTTGTTATTCACAGCCAGGGTAAGGAAGTAACCCAGGCGGTCACCTTATCTTAATAAAAACAAAAAATGGTGCAATCTAACGTGTAGAAACTGAAACTAACAAAAGACATTTTTTTTTCAGCTTATCAAGTTAAACCTTATAATTCTTAAGGGTGGAAAAACTTGTCTTATTTATATCCGTCTCATCAGCACTGAGCAGGGTGCCCTGAATATACAGAAGCGCTCTCAATGTTTGCGGAATAGATGAATGTATTCATTAAATCAGGTCAGAATTTACTAATAAATCATTCCTCTAGTATGCTACTACAAAAATGTGCGTTTACAAAAACAATCATATGGAAAAGGTGTAAAAATATTCATGGTCCCTAATCCCACACACACTTATAAAGTAAAATAGTCCTGTCTCTATACAGAATAAAAACAAGCGTCTCTTTGGCACAGTGCTTTAGAGTTTATAAAGCAGTTTTCTGTGCTAATCTATTTGTAATTTTCCTAATATCCTTTTGAAAGGGACAACAATGTCTTTAAAAAAAAAAAAGAAGAAGGGTAAATATCCCATATCAGAGAGAGGATCTTATTTGCTCAAGGTCACAGGGATAGAAAGGCTGGGTGCTATGCAGGACTTGGGGCCCCATTCTCCTGCACTTGAAGAGGCAGATTAACTTACAGGCATTTGGAAAGAACATGGAGACCCCCTAAACCCCCATGCAGAAAGGACATGGGGGCAACATCACTGTCTCTGCTCCCAGCTAGCAGTTTTAATAGAAAGGATAAATTATCAGAACCTGCAGTGCCAAGAAGTGTTTGAGTTTAGGGCTTTCAGGGATAATATTCAAAACGATGATACTAGTGGCCATCAATCATAATTATTTTAAAATTCAATAAACATTTAGTGAGTCCTTTCTTTGTGTCGGGGCACCGTGCCAGGTGCTGAAGAAGCCTGGGTTTATTTAATCCTCTCAGAGCTGTTATGTGAGGAAGGCTTTCTCACAATTTGAGGCAACTGGAATTTGGAGAATGTAAAAGATGCACTCTGAGTCCAGCGACCAGGCAGCGAGACCCAGAAAGCCCACCTGGGTTTGCAAAGGCTGTGCTCTTTTCAGTGTATTCTGGACAAGGACTTCAAGTGTGTTTATTAATAATTGATGAAGAATGGACAACAAATCCAAATAGGTGGCATTTATTAAGGGTGATACCCGTTCGGCATAAAAGAGGTATCTGTGAATTAGAGTGTTTAGAGAAGGCTTTGCAGATGAAGGCAAAAATTAGGCTGGAAGAATGATAATGGTTATGACAACGAACACAGCAAGAACTAGCACGTGTTGGGTGCTTACTACGTGGAGGTAAGTTTTGTGCGTTTTGCAAGTGCTGGCTGGTCGAATCCTCACAACCATGAAGAGGTGAGACACTACCGTTGTCTCATCCTGTAAGTCACAAAAACAAGCCCCAGATTAGTTAAGCAACTAACCCAAGGCTGAATGTTAGCGACAGAGCAGAGATGACGCTCCTTCTAAAGCCGGGAGCGCTGTGGATTTTATGAGCCTCTGTGGTCAAGGGTGAAGCATTTTTACATTTTCTTAATTGAGTGAAATATGCTTTGTTGTTTGCAAAAACAGTCATCTGAGAACAAAGTCTTTTTTTTTTTTTCTCCTTTCCAAATTCCCAAACACAAAATTGTGATCACCCTCCTTTGGGTGAAAACGTGAGGGCTGTTCCACATCCCGGAGCTGAGAGCAATACTGAGCTGCCCGTGTGGACTAAACACTCAGAGCAGATTTCAAGACTGGGTATTAACGGAAGAACTTTTGAAGAGTCTACAGTGGGAATCCATGGAAAACCAAACTGGAACTTGGAATGAACGAAGTCTAATAGGCTTTGTGAAGTCTCTGTGGGCAGCAGAGGAAGAAGGTAACAAAACGCAAGGAGGGGTGAGCAGCCTCCACCGGCTGCATGCGTTCCTCTCCCTCTGGGGGCTTCTTCATCTGCCCCATTCCACCCTGCATCTGTGTGAACCCCTTACAGCATCCTGGCCTCCTGCTTGCTTTTTTTTTTTTTTTTTTTTTCTTTTCCTTTCTTTCTTTTTTCTTTAAAGCAGCCACGCTGAGAATGATTCCCTTGTGGTTGGCGCACGCGGAGACGCACTGTCGGCCTAAGGAGAAGACTACTGTCCGAATTCTTCATTTACTAGCTGCCGGATACTGCGGATGCCACCTCCTCTATACCGCTTGCACCGCCAGACCCCTCTCTACTCTCCCTGCAATTTCTAAGCTTAAAGCCTCTGTCCCTTTGTCAGGCCCTCTTGACTCCCATTTTCCATTTGACCACATTCTCAATGTCAGCTTTAAAATCATTTAAACATGCATTTGTCACTACCTCCCTCACAAACATTCAGTGGCTCCCTATTGCTTTTCAAATAAAATAGAATGTTCTCTGACATTCTGGACCCTCCATGTTTTAGTTCCAAGCCATGGATTTAATCTTATTTCTCTCTTCTTCTCTTAATTTATCCCAAAACAAACCAAGTAACTCTTTATCCTATATCCATGTCAACAGTGCTTAGCTTTCTAATAATCATAAAATAATATATAATAGATAATTTGTAAAATATAGAAGAAAAGAATAAAGAAAAAATCAAAATATACTGCAATTGAAACACCCAGATATAATCCCCCTAATGTAATAAATATGTCAGCTAATGTTTTCTATATAGATATATAACATATAGTAGATATAAAAAATATATATAACGAACCTGAAATTTCTGTGTAAAAACAATTCTGTTGTTTTTTTTCCACTAAGAAATACAGTGTAAGCCTTTTGTCACATTCTTTCATATTCTTAAAAATCCTAGCTTGAAGGACTTATTTTGAGCAAAGTATTTAGAACAGTGCCTGGCATATAACAGGTGCTCAATAAATGTTAGAACGTTAGCCCTCTTTATTATTATTAACTATTATCACCCTCTGAACACTTGATGTTTAATAACTGTATTATATTTGATGATAAATATATTCAGCAATTAATATGAAATGTCCCTTGCTGTTGGATATTTAAGCTCTTCATACCATAAACAATCTTGCAATGAATACCCACATTTACACATACGTGTATATGGCTGTATATGTGCATATCTGTGTATGCATATGTATGTATATATGTATGTGTGTAAGAGTGTGTGTATTTGTGTGTGTCTGATGGCCAATTGACATCTTAGAAGATTTTCTATTGCTAATAAATTTTCTTTTCTTCCTCCTTAAACTATTTCAAGTTTGTCTTCTGTCAGTTGCAACTTAGAGTCCCAACCTAATACATTTGTGCAAAGCTTCCAGTCTCAAAGGTGATGGAGATAGTCTCTTATTTTAAGTGACAGACCTGATTTTGAGGTCTTGAATGTGTTAGGGCCCCAGAATCTTGGCTCAGAATTAGGGTCCCAAGTTATGAGGCTGGTTGGGGAAGAGAGTAAAGCCTGGCTGCTGGATGGGAGTCAGGGGTACAGTCTCAGTGGGAAGAATAGTCCAGAAACTTGGGGATGTAGGGAGAAAATGAAAGGGCTTTTCCAGTGGTCAGAGCATATGAGGATGTGGTTTTAGAAGGCGGAGCCCCGTGGCATAGGAAGCCTTCAACTGAGCCCACGGGTAAGTAGAGAGTGGCTCAAGATGCTGAGACAACTTAGAACCCACCTAACTTGCCTGTGTCATGGACACCTGGTCTGCAGTGACATTGCTTAACTAATTTAATACATATAAATTTGCAGTCTAAATTCAATTGTTATCTCCTTGCTTAACAACGAAGTTGAGATTCCTTGATATATACATATTGTCTCTCTGTGTGTCTTCACGGCAGAACATGCAGGACGCAAAGCCAGATGAAAGTGTGGGTGCCCCTTGTTCAAAAATCATTCAGAATTTCAAGATGGTTACAGCAAAGCATTAAACCAAGCCCAGGACGTTTGTAAGCACAGAGTTCTGTGTGACTGTTAGATCACACGCCTGGAAAGCTAGCCCTGGTTGCAGATTGTAGTTTCATGTTTCTGACTTGTTACAGAATATTGGTTTTTCCTTCTTGATTTCTCCAAGCTCTTTATATAGCAAGTCAATGATATTTGGTCACGCATAGCAAAAGTCACATTTCTCAATAGTATGTGATTTGCAAGACACCTCCTCCTTGCATGGGGTGGTGCATAAAATCTATTTATTGCTTTTTTTTAGAGAGAGACAGGGTCTTACTCTGTGACCCCCAGACTGGAGTGCAATAGCTCCATCATAGTTCACTGCAGCCTCAGACTTCTGGGTTCAAGCAATCCTCCCACCTCAGCCTCCGGACATACTGGGATTATACGCATAAGCCACCACACCCAGCTTGCATTGCTTTGATTCTAATACAGAGTCAAGGTCAACACCATATGGTGAACTTCTCGGTCACCACACCTTGGATCCTGATGTTTTCTCTGCCACATTGTCCTTTCTTCCCACACTGTCCTTTCCTTCCACCTTCCTTCAAGGACTAACTCTAATGTCATGCCAACCAGGAAGCTTCTCTGACACCATGACCCGAAAGTCACCCCTATCCACACTCCAGGAGATCCTCTCCCAGATTCCTCTGTTAAGACACTCTCTCCTTTCAATGGCACATTATCTTACAAGGGCACGTGGTTCAGCTCCCTCACAGTCTAGTACCTTGTTATCAGGGACCCCATATTATTGATCATTAATCCTGTACCTTGCTCTTATTATTCTTATTGCAATAATCAGCATTTATTGAGCACCTTCTATGACCCAGACATGCCTCAAAAGATGTGTCTGTCTGGACACAGTGGCAATGTCTGTACTCCCCATTACTCCGGAGGCTGAGGCAAGAGTATTGCCTAAGCTCCCGAGTTCAAGGCTGTAGTGCCTTATTATCATGCCTGTGGATAGCCACTGTATTTCACCCTGGCCAACACAGCAAGATTCCATCTATTAAGAAAAGATGGGCCGGGCGCGGTGGCTCAAGCCTGTAATCCCAGCACTTTGGGAGGCCGAGGCGGGTGGATCACGAGGTCAAGAGATTGAGACCATCCTGTCCAACATGGTGAAACCCCGTCTCTACTAAAAATACAAAAAGTTAGCTGGGCATGGTGGCGCATGCCTGTAATCCCAGTTACTCAGGAGGCTGAGGCAGGAGAATTGCCTGAACCCAGGAGGCGGAGGTTGTGGTGAGCCGAGATCGCGCCATTGCACTCCAGCCTGGGTAACTAGAGCAAAACTCCGTCTCAAAAAAAAAAAGAAAAGATCATATGTCTGCATGATAATGGTTATTTCCAAATACTTCCAGGACAGCAGAAAAACCTGGGTGCCCATCAAAGTTAGGGCTTTCTTCTGTTCTGACCTGCACTGGAGATATGTTTTATCCTAGCTTATTCTAAGACTTGAGTCTGAAAGGGCTCATTAAATATTAACTCTAATTATCATCATCATCACCATCATCATCATTATTTTCGACATGTATTGAGCATTTAGCATAAGGCAAGTAAATACTGGCTTATTTACTCCAGTGAACAGACGTGTGAAGTGGAGACTTTCACTAGCCCCCTTGCACAAATGGGAAACTGAGGCTCCAGAATCTGGAGGCTGTAAGTGACAACACTGGGATATAAGGCCAACCACCTGATTCCAGTGGTCTCGAAAACAACCTTACTGTAATTTTCTCATCTCCAGCAAGAGGGAATGTTGCCAATCACCTGGTTGCGAAGGTGCTGGGTTTTATTCAGTGGTGGTGCAGTGAAGCCCCTCCGGTTTGTTTTGCTGCCTTGATCTCACCTGGACTCTGCAGGAGGTCAGGGATACTGCCGAGCTGCGTGCCTGCCAAATGAAAATGCTGCTTCCTGAAACATAAAGTTCAGACGTGAAGACTTCAAGGACATTTATTCCCAGACCATGACCATAGTTGTAAAAATACATGGCATTTATTTTAACAGCTAGATCACATTTATTGAGCTTTCTGTGTGGTAGGCCCAAAGTGTTTTAAGTAGATGAATCTCCAGGAATCAGTAGATACATCAAGCGATTCACCCAAAGTGAGAGAGCTGGTGAATAAGAGAGCCACCACCGGGACTCTCCATTGTCTGACTCTACCTGAGGCTTCGCAGGACTATTGTCTGAGCCATGCCTGCATGCCAGACACTGGACAAGGCAAAGGGAATCCACAGTGGGTAGGGCAGGAGGGACTGGATTTCTAGGAGCTCAGAGCCTGGAGGAGGAAGAAGTCACAACGGAGAGTTACCATTTAGCCAGTCAGAAGCAATGGCAGAGCTCAGGCTTCCAGGTAGCCTGAAACAAAGGAGGGATCCAAAGCAGAGGAGTGGAATGAAGGAGAAGGTGAATCAGGAAAAACTTTCTGAGCCTTTCTGTCTACACACCACATTGTCATGTTCAAACCCAAATTTGACAGCCATTCTCCCAACTGGAGGAGACTCTGTGCAAAGTTACTTACTCTATCTCTGGACCTGGGAACTTCACCATTCATCTACCATCAAACCGTATATTAATCCATCTGTTAATCATTCAACTCACCTACTCATGTATCCTCCCATCCATCTATCCACCAATCTATCCACCCATCCACAAATCCATCCATCCATCCATCCATCCATCAACTCATCCATCCCTCTATCCATCCACACATCTATCCATCCATCTGTCTATTCATTCACACATCTATCCATCCATTTATTAATTCATCCATCCATTCATCCACACACCCATCCATCCATCCACCCATCCATCCACCCATCTATCCACTATCCATCTATTCATTTACACATCCATCCATTCATCCATCCACCCACTTATCCATCTACCCATTCATTCAACCACCCATCCATCCACCCATCTATCCATCCACACATTCATCCATCCATCTATTTTTATTCAATCATTCATCTCATTGCTCATTCATTTCTTCATTGGTTTGTAAAACATGTAGTAAGTTTCTGCTGTAGCAGAAATTGATTTAGACACTAGAGAAAATGTCTAAAATTAACATTTAAACAAAATGAATTCCAGAAATAAAAATTTCCTGTCTGCTCGGGATATATATGTTACAACTCTCATTTTGCACTACTTGATCCAGCAAATTAAGACTAACATGAGTTTTAAACACTTAATTTAAGCTAAATTAAGTGGGGAAGTGTTGGCCCAAAGAATTCTTTCAGGAAATGACCTCTAAAATTTCATGTACTTTCAGTCCCCTAAATTTGCTCTCTCTAATCCACATGGTATGTCTTGGATACATATGGAACTTTAAGCCTTGCAGAGCCCTTTATAGAATGACCAACATACTAAAATGTTATTTATTTAATATAAATTACTGTCATTTGAAAATAAAATAGGCTGGGAAGATTCACTGAGTTATGAATCTTTAACTTGAATGACTACAGTTTTTTTCTGGCTAACATATCATAAAATTAATAAGAGTATTTTTAAAGATAGTATCTCTCTCCCGCTTTTGAATCCATTTTAATATACACCAGTATTAAACTGGCTTTTTCTAACTGAATGAGGAAATAAAAAGTTCAAACATCTCTTTCACTCCCTCTCAACAAAAAAAATGAGAAAAAAGGAGCAAAATGTTATATCACCCTCTTTTAATTGATATCTCATCCTTCACTTAAATTACATGTCAGTACAAACTGTCAATTTTAAGGAGAATATTGATATTTTATTCCCATCACTTTTTTTCCTGTGGAAGGAATAAAACATTAAAACGATGATTATACATGAATCACATCTTATACATTGAAGGTACGGTATAATTAGAAAAATAATTTTTACCATTTGTAATGCAGTCTTACCAAACAGATCCATTCTTAGACAGCAAGCTGTGTTTAACTCAAATAATTCAATGAGATGGTTTGTGAAAGAGACGCAGAAAGAAAGTACCTCCATGAAAGTCATTTCTTGCAGTACCTGGATGATGAGAAGAGTCTCTAGAGACGTCACTGTCTCAATCTCCATTGCACGCTTGCCATGACAGGAAATGAATATGTTCACTCAGAAGTTTGAATGAAATGCCCTCAAGTCACTGACACCCAAGAGAGGGCTAGGAATGAATGGGGGAAAAAGGGGTCCAGTAGTAGCCCTAATGAATGGCACCTCCATGTCTGTAACCACATAGGAGGAAAAGAAAGCATAGAAGAGAAGCAGCCCTGAATCGTCACCTGTGATGTGACTTCCTCCCATTCATTAATCCCTCATTCCTGCAACATGTAATAGGCACCAATTATGTGCCAGGCACTCTTGTGGGTGATGAAGGAGACCTAACCCCACATCCTTAGCAACCTCAAAGTCATGGAGGAAGGAAAGAATGAATGATGCTGTATTGGTTTGCTAGAGTTACCATAACAAAGTGCCACCAATTGGGTGTCTCACAATTCTGGATCGAGATCAAGGTGTCCACAGGGCTGGTTCCTCCTGAGGCTGTGAGGGAGGATCTGTGCCATGCCTCTCTCCTAGCTTCTGGTGGTCGCTAGCAATCTTTAGAGTTTGTAGAAGCAAATCTCAGCTTCCATCTTCACACGGCATTCTCCTGTGTGCCTGTCTCTGTGTCCAAATATCTCTTTTTATGATGCATCAGTCATATTGGAGTAGGGTCCACATGAATGACCTCATTTTAACCTGATTATCACTGCAAAGACCCTAAATCCAAATTAGGTCACACACAGGGTTCGAAATTCAACACAGAAATTTGGGAGGAGAGGGAAAACCAGTCAACTCAGAACAGGCGATCATTGTAATGAGATTCCTGTGAAACAATCCCCTGAAAAGTCAGACTGTTCCCATCAAAATCACCACCTATTTTGCTTTTAATTTGACAAAATAGCTGTCAGATGTATCTGTATGTATAAACACTCAAGGATCGTAAAGGTAATTCCGAAGAAAGGAGAAAGGGCAATGAGGAAGAATTTTCACTCATTTTTTATATGATTTCAGTAATCAAAATTGAGGTACTGAACCAGGAACAGAAGTCAAGTGGGTAGAGCAGCAATAGTCTCAAGGACATACCCTGAATTTCTGCCGGTGAGGAAAGCAGCTCTGCTCCAAGGAATCAGAAAACAGACCCCTCCACAGGGCATGAGGATAGACACCCGGGAGCCATGCAGAGAGCCTAGCTAGGTTCCCAACACAGTCCTCACACCAAAAGATATTTCAGATGGGAAAAAATAATGGAAAAAAATGGAACACAAAAAGAGAACTTTTTTATTTTCTTTCCCCCCATAATTTTTGAGTTGAAAAGCATCTTTTAATCATGTTATTTTTTTTTAATTATCTTGGGAGGCCGAGGCGGGCAGCTCATCTGAGGTCGGGAGTTCGAGACCAGCCTGATCAACATGGAGAAATCTGTCTCTACCACAAATACAAAATTAGCCAGGTGTGGTGGTGCACACCTGTAATCCCAGCTACTCAGGAGGCTAAGACAGGAGAATTGCTTGAACCTGGAAGGTGGAGGTTGCCGTGAGCCGAGCTCATGCCACTGCACTCCGGCCTGGGCAACAAGAGTGAAACTCCATCTCAAAAAAAAAAAAAATTATCACCCAAAAGAATAATAAATATAAATATAAATAAAGGTAATATTCCTAACATGTAAACAACTGTTAAAATTCAACAAGAAAAATAAACACTTCCCAGTAAGAAACTGGTCTAAGACTCAGAATGAATCAACTCACAAAATAAAGAAAATACATTAGCCATTAAATAATATTTAAGTAATCACACTAATAGTCAAATAAAAACAATAGAAATTTTTCTTCCCAACTTTCAGACTGACCAAGTTTAAAAGAATGGGGGAAACTTGTATTTTGGTGAGGATTTGGAAGCGGTGGAGTGTGCCTCACTAGAGCCGTCCTGCAGAGCCAAATACATCAAAATAGAAGATGCCCCATCCTCTTCTGACCGAGAAAACTGGCTTCTAGAAATGTGTCCTCTGGAAAGGAATACAAACTTTGAAGGAAAAGAAAAAAAACTTCACACAACCTTTGGCGTGAAGGATATTCATCACATTTCTGTTGCTCACGGGGAAAAGCTGGAAACAGCCCAGTGGTAGTAGATGACCTGTTAAGTCAACGACTGTAGCACTTACAGTTAAATCTGAGGCGGCCATTTGCGTGCGCACATGCGCACACGCACACACAGATGCGAAAAGACGTTCACGACATTTTATGAGTGAATAGGGCAGGCATAGAACACTTATTTAGTTGTTTATTTAACGCATATTTTCTGGGCACCAATTCACGTCTGCCCTTTTGCAAGGTGTTAAGGACACAACGAATGTGAAGGAGCTTATCATGGTTCCGTGGCAATCAAGTCTTCGTACGAATATATAAACTTTAGTAAGTGTTGGAAAGAAAAAGTAGATGTGAACATACACTTTCAAAGATTAGGAGTTTGATGGCCAGGCATGATGGCTCACTCCTGTAATCCCAGCACATTGGGAGGCTGAGGAGGGTAGATCGCCTGAAGTCAGGAGTTCAAGATCAGCCTGGTCAACATGGTGAAACCCCATTTGTACAAAAAATACAAAAATTAGCCAGGCGTGGTGGCAGGCACCTATAATTTCAGCTACTGCGGAGGCTGAGGCAAGAGAATCTCTTGAACCCAGGGGCTGGAGGTTGCAGTGAGCTGAAATCACACCACTGCACTGCAGCCTGGGTTAAAGAGCTAAACTCTCTCTCAAAATAAATAAATAAAATAAAAATGAGAGCTTGATGTTGTCAAGTCTAGGAAGGTTTCCAGGAAGAGATGATATTTGAGCTAATTAATGCCTGGTTCAGGAGTCAAGGTCACTGGTTGAAAGCACTGAATGCGAAAGTGGTCTTGGCAAATCAAAGGGACTGCAGGTGCCAAGAACCTATGAAGCCGGGAGCAGGCTTTCAGAAACCACAAGAAAGGACATGCAGCTGGAGCAGCAAGAAATGGTGACTGTGTCTTGGGTCAGAGGGTGAAGGTAGGTCGCAGGACGAACAGCTGAGAGGGTGCGCTGGAGGGAGCATATCAGGGTTATGCAAAAGGCCGGCATGACCAGACTTAGGAAATTAGAAGAGAATTCCAAGCTGCAGCATGCAGCACAGACTCCAGGGTGGCAGGAGTGGGTGGGGAAGTCGATTAGGAAGCTACCGCATGGTCAGATGCGGGAGCAAAGGGCTGGATCCAAGACTGGACGGTAGGCTGCTGCTGTTGATATCCGCAGAGACGAAGAAAAGAGGATGTATTCAGGAAATATTTAGTCAGCCAAATCAATAGGACTTGCTAGAACGGAGGGAGCTTCTGGCTTCTGGTTTGCATAACTGGCTGGAAGAGCACAGGGGCTATAACCCTGTGCTCTACAACGTTTGCAGAGAGGTGTGTATGTTGCATGTATCTTACGTGCTTCTTCACCAAGCTACTGGCCGTGGTTTATCCACTGGTGAGATTTGGAATGGGTTTCGATTCCTCGGCTTTTCCATATCGTTTACATCTTCTCAATGAGTATTTATCATTTTTACAGAAACAAAAAGCTATGTGTTTTATTTAACAAAATTAAAAATTTCTAATTTTTAATTAAAAATCCAGCAAGTCCATTTGATTAAAAATCAAATGAAACAGTGCAAAGGAAGATGGACAAGTTTGCTTCAGAAAAGAAGAGGATGAGAATGGGGAGGTCGAGACAGAACTGGCCCCAGAAGAGCAGAGGGAAACAGCCAAGTCCCGAGTGCCACAGCCATTCATGCTGCGTCCTGTGCCCACACGTTCTCATCATTTTTCTACCCAGAAGGCCCTACCCAGGCGTTCTATTAATTTCCATATGTGATCAGTCAGATTGCTTAGAGTCATCCCAGCAATGTATTTAGCCCTGAGTTTTGCATTTATGATTGCCTGATTTGTATTATAGTCATGCAAATATTTCCCTCCATCCCACACCTCTCCTCTATCCTGCCACAAGGTCCCTGACCGTGGTAGAGTATAGAGAAAGGTTTTAGAGTCAAAACAATCCTATTTTGAATTCAGCCTTCTTTTGGGGTGACTTTAGACCAGCTCCTGCCTCAATCTCCCTGGGCTTCGGTCTCCCCATTATGTAATGGGCATCATAGATACATACATATATATATATATAAAACCCGCCTCAAGGAGAGTTATTTCAAGAATCAAACGAGAGTTAACATGCAAAACACTCAGTATCGCAACTGGCATAGCATGGTTTGTTTATTGTGTGTCTATTTTTGCTTTTCATTTCCGAATCCCCAGTATCCAACACAATGCCTTGCATAATGAAGGTAAGCAACAAATGTTTGTTGAATTTAATTGACTAAAGATTGGATTCAATTGCAAAACCTTTGAAACAAAATGAAATCCATACTTCTCTTTTCATTCAGATTTTATACCTTCTGTCAAAAGACAGGCTTTTTGCATTTACTCAATAAATGCCTAATACGCTTCTACTATGCATCTTACGAGGGGCTGGAGACACAGATGAGCTCGTTCTCTGCCCCGTTTCCTTAAGGTTCATGATCTGGTGGGGAAGGCAGACATCCAGGTAAATAAATGACCTCATTCATTGGAAGTGCCCGGGAGGTTTGAACAGGGCAAGTGGAGCATAAGCAGGACATGGGTCAAATTTCCCTAAAATCTAAGAGGCTTCCCTGACCTGCACCTCTCTATGTGTCTTTGGGACCTCACCTCCCACCACCCTTCCCCTGGGGCATCATGATCCCCAACCCAGCAACCTCCAGGCTTCTCCTCAAACATACAAAGCAGGCACCCACCCCAGGGCCTTTGCCTGTGCCGTCTCCTGTGCCTGCAATGCTCCATGCCTGTGGGCCTTGCCTGTGCAATGGTTAATTTTATGTGTCAATTCACCTGGGTCACCAGGTGCCCAGACATTTTCTCAGACATTATCCTGGATGCACTTGTGAGGGCATTTTAGGATTAGATTCTTAGGGACACACATTTTGCGTCAGTAGACTGAGAACAGCAGATTGCCCTCCCTCATGCAGGTGGGCCTGGTCCAATCTGTTGAAGGCCTGAATAGAATAAAAAGTGTGAGTAAGAGGAAACTCCTCCTGCCTGAGCGCTTGAGGCGAGACACGGATCTTTTCCAGACTTTGGACTCAGACCGAAACATCCACTCTTAGGTCTCCAGCCTGCCAGCTTTTGGACTGCAACTGTGCCATCCACTGTCCTGGGCCTCCAGCTTGCCCTCGACAGACCTTGGGACTTGCCAGCCTACACAGTCACTTGAACCAACTCCTCATTCTCTCTCTCTATATTGGTTCTGTTTCTCTGGAGAACCCAGCTTAACTTACCCCCCTGCCTGCATTCAGGCTTCTGTGAGATCTTCCCTGCCATGCCCATGGGACAGAGTGTATCTTGCCCTGCCCTTTCCCTTCATACATGATCAACCTCAGCATTACATAACACGTGTTTATCTGTTATGGTCTGTTGTCTTTAGGAATGTCAGCTTCCTGAAAGCAGGGCCTTGGTCAGTTTGGTTCACTAATGCATTTCCTGTGCCTGTAGCAATGCCAGACAGACTGTAGACATTGACAAATATTTGAGAAATGAATAAATGACTAGGTGGATGGTAGCATGGGAGCTGGGACCTGAGATTTCTGTTATCAACATAGTTCCAAAGGCTGGCACTTTCTTCCTGGTCCTATACTTCAGGAGGAGCATAGAGTTTGCAGAGCAAAACACATTCCTCAGCAATGAAATGGGTTGTGGCATTCGGGGCTATTTCTTGTTTCTTTCTTTGGGAAGCAGTAAGGCGAACACTGTTTATCTTGTTCTGGAGCACTGTGAGGGGTAGGCTGTAAACAGGAAAGAGAACATAAAGCTGATGAGTGCAAACCCTCTCTTCCCCACCGAGGCTTTGCTTGGGCCTACTTAGCATTTCAATCTATATAAAGTCAATGGGCCATACAACCTTCTTTTATATACACTCACCAATTAACATTATTCTTTAATAGGAAGAAGTTTAGGGGATTTTTTTTTTACCAGTTTGATTTCAAGGAACATGCCTAATCACGAAAACCTGATTCTAACGAGTGCGATGGGGATGGAAGGCAGTTAGCGAAGCCACACTCTGCACTTTTATGTCCCTTTTCTAGCAACCTTACAGATGCCCGCAAAAGAAGCCTCCCTTGATGACATGTAAGGCCTTTCAGGATCTAACCCTGAACAAGCTTGACCACCTTGCCTCCTACTCCATCTCTCTGGGCTCTCTGAGTTCCAGGCACACTAAAATTCTCGGGACCTTTGCCACACTCGATGCCATGCCTCTGTGATTTGGCTGGCACTGTTTCTTGAGTGAATCATGTCCTTTTTCCTCTCTCAGACCACCAGCATTCTTAACCCTTCGATATGCACACTCCACACAGTCAGGTGTGTCATTCGGGCCTCCGACGGCCCCCAGCAGGATTCCGGTGCTCCTATTAAACCAGCTCTCCCGTGTTGTGCATGATCATCATCAATTTCCAGGTCTGCATCCCTATCTGCGGTGCAGAGGGAACACTGGGATGCAACATTGGCGCTAGACTCATGTACAAAGGAAACTTCTTCACTCAACAAGGGCGCCCAGCTCCCCTTGGACATCCTCACTCCTCCCCATCTTCAGTGCAGGTGTTTTAGGCAGGGTTTCTGGAGGCCTAAGCCAATCAGTGCTCAGCAGATTCCTGTTCCAGCCATTGGCTGGAGCATGGACATGTGACCCAGGCCCATCCAATGAGAGAGAGTCTTGAGCTGATTTTAGAAGCTATCCGAAGAGAACTCTGGTGTCTTTACTTGAAACTGAGAGCTAGGAGTTGGGAGCTGCTAGAGCCACGTTGCCACCATTAGGGCAAAGCAGAGACAGCACGGAGGCAGCAGGACCTGGAGACTGGTTGAGAAGCCAAGCCCTGCCTGCAGCCCTCAGTGCCTGAAGTCAGATTTATTCTTCACCTTCTCAGTTAAGTAAGCCACAAGATTTAGCATTCTGTCACTTGCAACAGAAATTGTTCATGAGAGAAGCCTGACAGCCCCACATACCCACACCTCCACACCACCTCATGACGCCATGAGATTGGAAGCTTCCAATCTGTATGCAGTTGACCATTGTGACCATTGCACATTCTAACCATTGAGGACATTGTAGATAATAAGTGCTCACTTAAT